CTATTATTCACTGCCATCCGTCATTTACTGCCATCCGTCATTTACTGCCATCCGTCATTTACTGCCATCCGTCATTTCCTGCTATGGATGGTATATTATTAACAGTGACAATTAACCATTACAAACGAATACTTTTGTAAATAAATGTCGGTTTCCTCGTTAATCCCGTCTGTGCGCAAACGCAGATACTGGGTCGGCGTTCTCGACAGAACACCGGCACTACATTTTTAAACTGAAGCGGTTGCCTGAGGTCCTGCGCTTGCTGGGGACCTCGGCAGCCGTCCTGTTAAACTCGCAGTGCCATGGCGGCGGGGGGTTGGGGGGGCCTTCATAGTTTCTTGCACTGGGGGGCCCTGAAGGTTCTAGTTACGCCTCTGATTAAAGCCCATGCTGATGGAATGGGATGCCCAGTAAGCTATGGTAGCGATGGTCAGGTGTCCACAAACTTTGCTCATATGATGTAGGATCTGCATGGCTCTCACATTACAACCTGATTGTACATTCTCCTTTAGATGAACCAACAACTATGTAGTGTGAGGTCCTGGTCTGATTATAATTGGAACATATGGTGAGCAGGTTCTCGTACTACATAGGTTCCATAAATCTAAAATGGATAGTACAGATTTTGTACACTCATATTGAGGTATGAAGGGCCGCTTGGCCAGAATAAAATCCATGACATAGGTTCACGAATTAGAAAACGAGATTGTTACGTGTAGCCACTTGATCCCCTCAGCGAGTCATAACTGTCTGTGGTAGAGGAGGTACAGACTTATAAGGGGGTGTTGAAGTCATCCCTTCAATTTAAGCATTGCGCAGTAACAAGGGTGGTGTGACCCCACACCTTCGTTGGCCAGTATCACCTAGGGCATATGCGATGAGTAGGGCATTTAAAAGGACTGCTGGGTTGGTGGCCCAAGAAAAACGTGAGTGAGTGAGCAAAATACTACACTGATCGTGCGTAGTCAAGGATCCATGTCAGTGCTGGACTGCAGGACCAGGGATAGGACCGTCAGGCTGCAATGTGCTGAACCAGCCATAGCTGATTACCTAATACCTCCTGGTCTTAATCAATAGTGACGGGCTCGGGCGTGTTCGCAGCTCCACGCGCTGAGCCCGCCAGGAAGCTGACAGCGCCGCAGCGCCAATCACAGACAGGGCCGGATTTGCTCTCCCTGCCCCCCCAAGGACAAGTTCTACAATGTGCCTCTTCCCCGCCAACCGGACCTCCCTCTCAAATCAACGGAGAATGGCCACCGGATGGCAGTTCT